GATTTCCAGGGCCAGTCCTGCTCACTTGGGGCTGGGTGGCAGGCCAGACGTATAGCCCCAGTCAGAGACTCCACACACAGGACAGTTGTGAGGATAATCAAGGTTGCCTGGACAGCACCTTGCAACCTCCAGGCCCAAACTGAGAGCTGCCCTGCCTGACAAGGAAGAGCAGACAGGCCTCTTTTGCTATCCATGCTATCTCAGAAAGAAGGTAACAGTGCTCTGGGCTTTGAGGGATGCAGTCCCGATTGCACGCTAATCACCAGCATCTTGGCTGAACAACCAATCTGGGGAAATCAGTCGATGCAATGCAAGCCATCACTGAGGATCCCATTTAGCTGGGGACACTGAGGATGCAAATTTTGTATAAGCAAGGAGACCACATGATGCGCACTGACCTTGGCACTCGGCCTCTCTCCTCAGATCCAGCCATGGCCACACTAACAGCCATCACAGGGTAGAAAACCAAGGAGAAAACTCACCTGCCATCCCACCACCTAAATCATCATCTAAATTCCCTTCCGGCTCTTGACCCACAGGGGGTCATCCGGGCATCAGTGCCATTCTGGACCTTTCACAGGTGCCTTGACATGTTGTCATGTTAGCTTCATGTCCGTCATTTTATTTCATGGATTGGCAGATTGGTTATTGCTGTGGATGAAGCTTCCCTCCTTCTGTCTTTTGTGTGATCTCCCTGAATGTGAATGCTGAGTCAAAGGATGTGGACGCACTACGGCCCTTGAAAGAGACTGCCGTGTGGCTGCCAATGGGGCTATTCCAGTTCTCAAGGTCTAGCATATGAGAGAGGGCTGCACTGCTGCTTTAGGTGCATGTTTTCGATTCCTGGTTCCAGCCTCAGTACCACTGATTTCTGAAGGGGGATGGGGCACCCAGGAGGCAGAAAGCGATAGCAGGTTGGGGTGGTCCCTGGGGAGGCCCCCGTGAAGGGAGGGGACTGTTCAAGTGTCCTGGGAAGTCTTGATGTATGGATGTGCCTATCTCCTCGGACCACCCAGCCCTGTTCTTCCTTCTGGCCTAGAGGTGGGCCTGGCACAGCCAAGAGTGTTTCCTTAGGGTTAAAGTGGGCCTGCTGCAGGCCTGCCCATGGTTATCCCCCATGGAAGAATATAATTTGGACCTGTTTCCTGGCCTCCTAGGGAAAGGGGGTACCCAGGATGGTCAGGGCTATGCCTCTTGTGCGTATGTGTCCAGCCCAGAGCTCTGGCCTTCCAATGTGCCAGCCTATCCTTAGCTCCTGAGGCAGATGTGCCAGTAGGCTCCCAGGGAACTGTGGGCTCAGGCCTACCTAGGGGACCACACGATGGTGGGTCCAGAGCAGTACCCACATGGCCCTCCCACCTGGCAGTTCTTCCTGCCCGCATGTCTCAGCAATTCCATGCTGCCAAGCACCCCGCAGACCCTACTTCCAGTCAGAGAGTAGTAGCCTTGGGAACTCTGAGCACTTGTATGGTTTGCTCAAGGGATAGGAGCTCATAGCCTCTGGGGATTGGACCATGGGCTTTCTCTGGGCTGAAACCAGCCTTGGCCCCTGGCCCTGTACCAGCTGAACCTGAATCACAGGTCCATCCTCCACGTTCTGAGATAATTGGGCAACTCCCCTCAGTCACACTTGCTGACCTCCAACCTGTAGTGGCCCTCACAGTGGAGATGAGCAGGGAGAGGCGTGAAAATCCTCGGGCAAGGGATGAGGGTGGGCGGGGCTGTGCTGGATCTGTGTGCTGGCTGCAGGCACAATCTGAAGCTTTATAGCTGAGCAAGACCTGTCAATGGGTAGATGTGCAGACTCTGTACAAGGCTGGCCTGTGCCTAGTTGTGGTTACAGCTTGATGCCTAATTATAGTCCAGAACAATATATCTTTATCTTTCCTGGTTTGGTCTGAAGGTTTGGATTGTAGGAAGCTGTTTAGACCGTGGGGTGATCCCAGTCACCTCTAATAAACTGTGCAAATGATTAGGGTTAGGGTTCGAATTGAGGGTGGGGGGTCAGAGCTTGGTAGCCCAGTTTGGCAGCCCTTCAGGACCCGAGTGACTGGCGGATTTCCCACAGGCAGGCCCCATGCTTTGAGGGTGTGAGGGTGTTAGTAGTCGGGGAGGAGCTATTATGCCAACGAGACACTGGAGGCTGTTGTGAGAGGCTTAGCGGGCCAGGGGAGGGGCTTTGAAGTCAGAGTTCTTTGCAGGTTTAGATGAAGCTGGGGGTTTGGAAATGCCCCTGGCCCCCATGGGCCCCCCAACCTGGTCCAGGTCCCCCACTGTGCCAAGTCCTCTGTGAGTAGCCTGAAATCCCCCATTCTCCTGAGCCATTTACTAAGGCTGACCCTTCTGTGGCCACAACGAGTCCTCGGGGGGTGGCGGTGGGGATGAACTAGACTTCGAGCTCCCCAGGAGCTGTAGTAGAGACCGAAGGAGGAAGGGCCTTGGACCTTTGGATCAAGCGTGGATGGGTGCTGAGTGAGGCTGGGGAGGGGTGTCTGGGAAAGGATCTGATTTGAGTTTTGAAGGACACAGGGAGAAGGGGAGCAATAACAAGCTGGCATTGGCATTGATGGGGCCCCTACTGTGTGTCCACTGGCACTGGAAGTACAGTGGAGGGGCAGATGAGGTGGGGTTCCCACTCACCTTCTTGAGCGTCCCTTCCTGAGAGACCCCTGGCCCTCTAGGTCAGGAGCCCTGGTATGGCACCATCAACCCCAGCCCCCTGCCCCTTCCAGTGTATCAGGGCCCCAGAGAGAGTGGACACTATCATGACTCTTACTCATCAGCATTTCCACACCCCAGCTTTATTAAAGCAGCAAGTGCTGATGTATCAGTTACAGAAATATTTCCTCAAGCACACCCCCATCATTACCCACCCTCAGCCTCATCTGCTGACCCAGGGCCAGCAAATTCTTACCCCACCCTGGCTGTAAATTGTTCCTGAGGCTTCTCCAGTCCCATTTCCTGAAACTCTAGGGCACCAGGATGTGAGAGGATGAGGTCTCAGAGGATGCCCTTGGTCCTTTTACAAATTTCCATCCCTCTGTAGATATGACAACGCTCTGTAAGGCTTCTTTGAACTTTGAGAAATTACTTGTCTCAGTAGTGCAGTTCTTGTGTGGTTCTGTTGACTAAATAAGAAATACATATTTATCTTCTTAGCAGAAAAAAATAAAAGCAAATTCAGTTCTCCCAGTCATAAAGGCCCTGTAAGACCCCACCTCATCCCCTGGGAGGTAACTCAGGCAGGCCCTCCCCATCTTTCTTAGGGAGGGCACTGGGGACCATCTGGCGATAGTGGAGCCCCAGGTCTGAGGACCATCCATAGCTCTGGGGAGAGACCCAACAGGGTGTGGGGAGGTCTTGTGGCTTCCCAGGAGAGGGACATGAGGACATGCAGGGCAGGAGGACACAGCAGACAAAGAGCAAGGTGGGCCAAGAAAGCAGGGCACCTCAGTTGTTTCCCCACAACATGTCCCCCTAAGCCACTGCCCATCCCCACATTGTGGGCTCCCAGTGGAGCTCCTTAGCCCAGAAGGGGCCCCAAGGGCAGGGCAAACCGGAGCCAGTTTAGACTGGCCACCCAACTGGGGTTGGCCCTTCCCTTTCCCCAGGCTGAGTCCACAACCAGCCCTGCTCTGACCTGTTACACACTGACCCCTGTGCATAGGAGTTTGGTAGAGAGCATGACGGAAACCTCCAGAACGACACCTGAATCCCCATTCCCCTAAGCGTCAGCCCCTGTCAGTGAGTGAACTTCTTTTGGATCAGAAAGTAGTACCTGAAGCCTCACATGTGGCAGGTGGGGGCCATAAGAAGCCCTTTGCCCCACTGGGCCTCTGGCTGTGGTGGCAAGAGAAAAGATGTCTCAGGTTCCCCTAAGAGCAAACAGCTACTTACTTTCAGCTTTGGGCAGATTTTGGTAAGTTCTTCCATGTCCTTTACTATGTGGTAATCATTGTTATATTTCTTAGAGATTTCATTCAGGGTGGAGATGAAACCCTCTCTAAACTTCCCATAGCAGAGCTCCTAAAACAGGGTGGGGGGCATTGAGTTGGTGGTGGTGCCCAGCAAACCATCGGCTGACCCTCAACCTCATCCATTCCTGGTTACCCTGGCCAGATGGAGCTCTGGACTCAAATTCAGGCGCTACCCTGATTCTCCCACAGGAGACCCATGGGCCCTGTGAGCTTTGCAGCGGGTATGTGGTCTCCCTCCAGGCACAGGGCTGCTCTGGGACGGTGATCAGAGAGCCTGGCAAAATCTGGCTGCTGGTTCATCTGCTGACTGAGCCGGAGACTTGATCTTCAAACTCCCAGCTTTCTCACCAGATTTCTTGACCCAACAACTTTTGTTCTTGTCTCTGCCCTGGGTGATCCCTTTCAAATGTGGTCAGAAATGACCACGGGGTGACTTCTCCTTACCTCACTGGTGTTCTGGGGCCTTTTGAAGGAACCCTAGAAGTGGGAAAAGTTGATTAGAAACGCAAAGGGCCACTGAGAGCAAAGTGATGTTTGATGAAGACCCAGACTTATGTTGTGTATTACGTTGTCAGCCACGAGTTCTTTCTGAATCTCAGCACAGACTGCTGTGTGATTGTCCTGGGGAGACACGCTGGCTATCTTCATTGGGGTGGAATGGCTTTCCAAGCCCCAGGAGCACGTACAGGTTCACGGTATGAGTTGAGGGTGGCTCCAAGCTGATCCGAGCCCTGGGCTTGATAGCATTTCTGTGGGGAGAGGTACCTATATACAAGTCTCAGGGAATGCTAAATCTCTTATCAGTTATCACTGGTTTATATGGAAGACGGAGAGGACCTACCTTATCTCTGGGCAAGATGTGTTTTTCATGCATTTTCTATGACTACAGCATACTTAGAGGAATCTTGTCTTTCCTGAAATTCAGGGTTTGTCTAAGAAGTTTTATTCATGATCACATCTGAAGTCATGACCTTTCTGCCTGTGTGTGGGGCAGGTCTTTGGCCAGGACTGGCGCTGTCTGCAGGTGAGATAGCCAGAGCAGAGGGAGCAAGTAGGACGGAGAAAGAGCCAGGCAGGAGCTAGAACTGCACCAAACGAGCTTCCCCAGGCCCACCCATCAAGGTAAAGGCTGGCCCTGCTGCCCACTTGACGCTTGGGGACACACCCTCTTCCTCACAGACCCCAGGAGGGACACAGGAGAAGAGGTTCAGGAACAAGTCCTCCAGCCCCATTGGCAAAGCAAGGAGAGGAAGGAGAGCTACTATTTTCTCAGCCGGAAGGCCGTGGATTTGGGGGGAAAATGCCTAATTACATGCAAAACTTCATGTAAAAACAAAAACTAGCTCCAAAACATGCCACACTAGAGCCATGTACCAACAAATTATGAACTTACATTCTGACTCTCAAAGATTAAGATCACTCATCTTGGGGAAAGTTTGGTAAATATACTGAGCTCTGACCCCTGTGGTTTGGTTTCTTTTTCCCTGAACAGCTAGTCTATCTGCTGGTTCACCTTGGGAGTGGCTGAAGCCCCGAGTGTGAGGGACAGGGCATGGCCACAGGGTCCAGGCCTCTGGAGGGCACAGGTGTTTTGCCCATTCAGCCAGTGACCAGCCAAGCCCAGGAACCCCCCGCCTGCCCAGGAAGGGTGATCCCCCTTTTCTGGAGCAAGATTCCCACTGTCTGGGTTACTTGGACTTCCAAGTGAACCTGGAAACCTCTCTCTGGGGTGGGAGCCTTTGAGCATCCACGGAAGCATGTCCAGATGTGCAGAATGTTACACCCAGGAGGGCTGTCACCTCCCCTGTGCTCTGACAGCACTGCCTGTCCAATTGTGCCTGATCTGCTGCAGGCCCCTGTTCCCTGCCCCAACTCCCAGCTTCCTCCCCTCCCTGACCTGGGTGAAGGAGAGCACCTTGAGCATTCGCTCATGGTAGAAAACAAACTGAAAAACTGCACAAATAAAAACAGGTTTTTAATAATTTATTATTATGGTAAAACATCTTGAATAAATATGGGGTATGAAATAAAATAAATAAATAAATAAATATTAAAATACATAAATATATAAATAAATATTACTGATCCCTGCCAGTGTAAAACATCTCCTGTTTCCCCTACCACACCCGTATCAGGGTCAACATGGCCCAGAGCAAGTCTGTGCTCCCTACAGCCCTGGCCCACCCTGTGGTCCCTCCAGGGTGAAGATCCTGAGTTTTGTTTGGCTCTTTGTGGATGGGAGGACAGCGATCTGTGAGGTAAGCTCCCAGGCTGGCTTCTGGCCCGTCTGGCCTGCTTCACTTCTGGACTGCCTCCCAGCAGTCAAAGGGGATGGTAAAAAGAAAATCCTTCAGGTTCTCTTTGAAACTTTTAAAGGTGATAATCTGGGTTTCACAAGAAGTTTCCTTAAGAAAGAAAAGAAAAAATATATAAGTTGAGTCCAGGCACGAGTGGGTAATGTGGGGGAAGCATCAGCATGTTTCTGTGCTACGTCTTAGAACTCAGAGGCCAGAAGGCCTGTCTGGGGCCCACATGCTGACCTGGGTCAGGTGACATGCTGCCACCCATGTGTCACCCAAAAGGTGCACAGCTCTGTCAATGGCAGCCGGGGCCAGGGGCCTGATAAAGTGCAAGCCGGAGGCTGGTCTGCTGGGCAGCTGGGCCACTGCCTCTTTGGTCCCAGGCCAGGGCACAGCAGTTGGGCCCAGGCCGTCTCTAGGAGCCCAGAAGGGGCAGGAGTCAAGGCCACAGGCCTCACTCTTTTCCCACCGGAAAGGGATGTTTGGGGCCTTTTTCCATTTCAGGTAAGTTTTCCTCCTTGCTCCCGTGCAATCCAGGCATCCCAGGAGGGGCCAGGGGAAAGTGCTTTTAGGAGGCGGCACTTGGGCCCCAGAACTTCCTCTGGGCCTTAGGCAGGTCTTGAGTTTCCTTGTATTTGCCTCACCTCTGACCTCATTAATGGTAATAATAAAGATAGTAGCAGCTCCCACTAGGGAGTGCCGTAGGCTCTCGAGTCCAGGGTTTTAACTCCTAGAGTTGCTCCCTCTCAGGAGGGGCTAGTCATTAAAAATCTGTGGACTCAGAAACCCTTTGGGGTCGTGAACACCCACAGCCAAAGGTCTCTCCCCAACCATTCCTCCACCCTCCTAGAATGAGACCTTCCCGCTTGGGGACCTGATGTGGGCACTTACCTGAGTGGGGGGGCAGTGCTGCTTGTAGTGGCTGGCCATCATGGTCAAGGGGCCCTCGAGACTAGTGAGGCTGCCCCGCAGGCCCTGCTTGTACAGCTCCAGGCGAGTCTGCAGGCATGTCGGCTCCTGGGGGAAATGTCCATTCTTTGGTGAGCAGTGGCCAAGTGTGCTCTGGTAGGCACAGGACATCCTCCCCATCACTCCTTCCTGTTCTCATCCCTATCTACCAAGAGCAGGGCCTGGGAGGGGCACAGGACTATTCTTGACTAATCTCAGGCTGGACCCGGTTATACACACTGCCCTGTCCCCCTGTCCACTGCAGGCATGAGTCTGACTCGTCCTCACCACTCAGCTCAGGCCATTCCCAGCCAATACAGCCACATTCCCTTGGCCTGGCATCTCAAGAGGGTCCCAGTCTCCAGAAAAAAGAGGTCACTGTCCTCCCAGCATTCAGGGGGAAGGAGGAGGGGACCCTCGCCCAGAGCTGCTGTGTGAGCAAAGTTTGTTCCTGAAACCCTTCTGTGCCCGTCAGTAGCCAGCACCGTGTCCACAGGGCTTGGTCTCAGGCCACAGTGAGTGCCCCATGTCCACATCCCCTGTCTCATGACATAACTCCCACTTACCCACCTGTCCCCTGGTGACCCCTAGCCCCTTGAATGCTAGGTCTGTCCATGGCTGGTCAGCTAGTAAAGAAGCTCACACGACTGCCACAGGGGCAAAGCCAGTGGCCTCCTGAGCAGCCCTCCTTCTGGCAACCAGCTGACTGGAGAGAAAGTGGACAACCCTGTGACAGTCCATCTAAAATGGAGTCACTCCCCAGGGCCGAGGCCTTTGAGAAGTTGTGTCAGAGAGGTATCTTACCTGGGAGTCAAACATTTCAGAGATGACTTCTGTTGTTTCATCCTGTAGAAAAGGAAAATGTTGTGTTATCAAGCTGACAGGCATGCCAGGGCCAGGCCAGCGAGGTGACCCAGGCACGGCCTGTGCTCCCTCCCTCACTCACCATCACAGCAGCAGTGTCTTTACTGTGGTTCAGAATGCTCAGGGCCTCCTTGATGGCATCCACATGCTGCCAGGGCCGGGTGGCAGGGCTGGGTGGGTGGGTGGGTGCGGAGGTGCTGCAGACCACAGTGCTCAGGAGAAGCAGGTTCTGCAGCCACATCCTCCTTAGGACTTTAGCCTTTCTCTCTGAGCACTGGGCTCACTGGCAAAAGAGCTCTTATATACACAGTTAGAGGAAATGATTAATGGTGACCACAAAACACCAGGGAGGCGGGGGAACTACCTGAACTGTGGAATCTCCTGGCCCTTATCGGCTACACATGGAAAGGTGAGCCTTTCCCCAAGGTGGTCAGCCTTGGGGGTTTTCGTTAATGAGTCTTTCCAAGAATTGGCAGCCCACCTGCCCGCCTTCTTGAGCGTTCTCCAGCCCTCCTGGGCAGTCTGACCTGCCAAGTCTTCCCCCTCCCTCTGAGGGGCCTCTGGGCACAGCATGGACTTCCTGGCCTGAAGTGGCTGGGGGGCAGGGCCTGGGAGACATTGAATCGAGCTCCTACCCCCGCCCTCCTCCCCGGCTTCCCATCCTGCCTGTTATCCCAAGAGACCTTTGGGCCGGCTGTGCCACACTGGGGCCCATTCCAACTCCAGCCTCCCCTTCTCTTCCTAGAGCCCGTAGCTGTGGCCACAGTGAGATATGAGTGTGAGGAGGACTCTCACAGTCCTGCCCCACTGTCCACCTAGGCAGATTCCAGCCAAATGACATAGTCCTGCGACAGCTCACCTCATCTCCCACCAAGGACCCAGAGCAGTCAGCAAGCTGTTCCCAGCCAGGAACCTCTGCCCCACAGCCCCTGTGAGCTGAGGGAATGACAACCATGTACAAGTCCAGCCAGCAAGATCCAGAACATTCCTCCATGGTAAGATCTCATCTAACAGCAACAATCCTGGTTTACACAGCCATATTCAGCTCCCAAGCTGCAGAAGTGAGTTGGGGCTCTCAGTGGGGGGTGGGTCAGGGTTCTGAGTTCAAATCCTGCTTCCAACTCCACCTTGCTGAGTGACTCTTCCCTTGAATTATGTGAACCTCGCTTCCCTCTGCAGAGCAGACTGGCCCCTCTGAGGTGGGCACTGTGCTGCTAGCTACAGCCTCTGGCAGGCATTAGGCACCAACAGGGTCATGGCTGCATCCACAGGAGGTACAGGGGACAATGGCTTTTCAACCAAGGTCTTCTGGGCTTAGCTTCCTATGTGGCCCCTGCCCCAGCCCACCTCCAGCTCCAGAGGCCTCCCTCTGGAACAGAAACTGCTTCTGGAAAAGTCACAGGCTCTTGAGGGGCTGACAAGTGTTTGATTTTCACAATGGACTTTGGAGAGCACAGCACGAGTTGGTGTTTACTTCCCCATGCCATGAGTTTTGTGGTCGAAGGGATATGGGTCCACACACTTACGTTTCTGAGTGTCTGTGTGCCAGGGTGGTTGATGTCTGTACTTAGAGATGTGTCAGGAGGGGAGGATGTTTTACATGAGGTACATCTGTGTGAGCCCCCATGCCTCTGCAGGTGCCCTTCTGATATAGGAGAAGCTCCCCACACTGGGAGCTTCTGGGCCCCAGAGGGTGATTTAACCTAGATTGATGGGGTCAGACATAAGTGAGGACATGCTGCTGAGCTCAAGTGGACAGCCCTGGGAAGCAGGTAGAACTCATGGTTTGAGTACTGTGGCCCGAGCCTGCAGCCCTGGCAAGTTTCACTGCCTAGCAGGAGGGTTGTTGCCCTTGCACAGGGAAACCAGGCCTCAGTCCTCCAGACCCCACTGGAGTCCCTGCCAGGATCTGGGGCACACCGTGAGGCCAGCCCTACCCTTCTGAGCCTGATGGGACATTCCTAGGTGGCCAGGCTGGGGGTGAGAGTGTGGCATGTCAAGGCCCTGGCCCTTCCTCTGCCTTTTCCATGGAACCTCTGCTCAGCCCCTACCAGGAAGCACTCAGCGGGGAACAGAGGGTTAAGGACACTGGGTGAAGATGCCACACAGAGTGGAGGTCTGTGTCAGACAGTGCCCTGGAGGCTGTGTGGTGGAGGATGGGGGCCACAGGCTATATGGAGACTGGCCCAGACACTGGCCGTCACTCCCCTCTCATCCTTTCTTTACAAAAGGGAGACAGAGGTGGGAAGAGGGAGGCACCCAGTCAGCCAAAACAGAAAGTATCCCCTTATGCAGCCCAGAACTCCCTTGTTAGGGAGTTGTTACCTGCAAAGTGGGCCTTCACCTCCTTGCGGAGATAAACTAACTGGGACCCAGAGGTGGAAGTAACAATCCACAGTCATGCAGTGAGAAGTGGCAAAGCTTGAAGGCAGGCTCCAGCCCTGCGTCCAGCACAAAGGCAGCTGCTGTACCCCTGGCACTGCACAGGGGACTTGGCACACTCTCGCTAAGACGTGGCCTGAGGGAGCAGGATGAGTGTGTGTTTAGGGAGAGGGAGTTATGAGTTGATGGCCCCAGGGCTGAGAGGAGAGAGCCCCAAGGACCCCTCCGGTCATCCCAGAAACTTTGTGGGCCACCTCCCTCCCCTTCCCCACAGTTCACTGACCCCTTTATCACTACTCCTGCTGGGCCCTCAGTCTGAGTCCTGGGAGGGGGACTGTCACCCTTGTGAGGGGCTGGGGGGCCTTTGGGGGAGGTGCTGGAAGGAGGTGGGGGGCTCTCTCCAGAGGCAGAGGTACATGACAGGGAGCTCGGGGCTCAAGGCCACGGCCCTCTGGGACCTGAAGAACAGAACTGGAAACAGGAGACACACCTGCCCAAACAGGGCTGCAGGGAGAGTCTGAGGGAGCCCTGACACTTCAGAAAAGTCCTGAAGGAAGGTCGTTCCAGAACCAACCATCTTGCCCAGAATAGAAAGCTTGCATCTGCAACCTTAACTGGCCCATCAGCTCCAGAGGGACTGGTGAGGGAGCTGGGCCAGGGTCCCCAGGCTCCCACCCAGCACCTTTGCCTGGACAAACATAGAGGGCAGTGAGGGGCATCCTCAGGACTTTGGAAGTAGTAAAGGCTTCTGGTAATGATTTCTCTCCCTTTTAATTTTTAATGAAGCCTCCAGTGGTTTTTTCTTTTAATCCCAAGGAGGCAGATGAAGGCAGCAGCCCCTTCTAGCTATCTGGTGACACTCCTAGCTGGGGATGAGCTTAAGGGATAGAGATTCACAGGTGGGGAATGCATTTCCAACCCTGGAGGAAGTCCTCTGGGCGGGTGGGAGGCATAGGTTGGGGGAGGGCAGGCCTGGTGCACACCCACCCTTGGAGTGTCATTTCCTGAGTGTACAGTTGTTGGATCCTGGGAAACAGCAAGGAAGCAACAAGAACCAAGGAGTGAAGTGAAGACATCTCATTATCCTTGGCTCCGCCTTAAAGTTGGCACCCCTGGGCACTACCCAAGGCCTGGCCCGCTGTGCAGTGCTCTGGTGCTGGGAACTTCCTCTTCACCAATGACTTCCAGATGTCTTGTGCCATGACTTCTCTCCTACCTTTGGGCCCATGTGGCCACAACTGAGTCTTCTGGCCTCTCAAACTTGCCACATCCAGTCCAGTCTGGACTGGCTCCCCAAACCTCTCTGAGACCTTGGGTCTCCCCCACCACAGCAAGTGGCCTTGCTGTCCACCCAGCTGCCTGAACCAGAACCCCGATGTCAGAGGTTCCTCACTCACCTCCCACCCCCAACCCACACACCCAGTGAGTCCCCTCAAGCCCTTCTCTTAACTTGCTTCACTCTCATTTCATGACCGCCCCCTCCTGGCTCATTCTCTGTGCACATCTTGGTTGGTACCCTTAACACTGTGCCCATGAGTCTGGGCCTTGTCCTCCCTGCCACCTACCCAACATGAGCACCAGAAGTGAGTGCAGGGGGCTGTGAGGTCTGCCACACCTCCAGCTCCCTGGAAGCTGGGCTATATGGATGTAGAGTCCACCCACACATGGTTGGGGGTTAACCACCCTCAGGTCCTCCCAGACCAATCAGGATTCGCCAGTGCCAGCGGTCTGGGGATACCCAGAGAGCAGGACAAGAATTGCTCTTCTGGACATCCTGGCCTTTTTGAGGTGCATCTCTGGAGACTTAGATGAGATGCAGGAAGGCTCCAACTGGAGCTGCAACCACAAAGGTCAAAGATGTAGCTTTGTGTGTATGGTATGGCCTGAGGTGACCAGAAACCCCTCTCAGGAAGGACGAGCCATTCACTGGGTTCTCCTGAGGGTGATGCAGGACCCCATGAGCCCTGAATCTGGGTGGTGGTTGGGCTCTCCACCTCACCACATCTGTCCAGAAAGATGCTATCTAGGTCTGCAGCTGGGCAAAGGGTAGCTATCCCTGAAAATTCCAGTAAGGCTGAGTCTCTGCCCAGTTTGGGCTTTAGAAACCTCCCAAAGTGGTGGGGAGAGGAGAGGAAAGGTTGAAGCACTACCTCCTCCCTGGGAGGATTCCCCCACAAAGTTTCCTGGGACAAGCAACAATTTCCTCTGTGAGGCAGAAATAATTAAACCCATTGTACAGATGAGGGAGTTGAGGATCAGAGAGAAGGAACTTTCTTGGGCTACCCAGGGATCAGCGGTAGAGAGTCCAAGCCTGAGACATAGAGATGCCTGGATGGCAGGCTCTGCTGGGGAAATTGTGCCTTTGGCTCCCAGGACTTCCTGGGGACAGTAACAGGACACTCTAGCTTCCCTGCCCACACCTGGAGGAGTCTCCCTTTACAGCTGCCCTGAGGGGGACATCCCTCTGCTGGTCTACCCAGGTGACCAGCATTTCCTGGCTTTCTGATCCCTGACTTAGAAGACATCAGGGGAGCAGGAACAGATACGGGTTCAAATCCCATCTCTGTCATCAATGATAGTGTGGACTGGGTGGGCCACTGGTCTCCTGTTCCTCAGGTCCCCAGGGAAGACAAGGGGTGGCAGGCCCAGGGAGGGTGAGATCAGCTGAGATGCCTGTGCAGAGGTCCCATGGGACGTGAGAAACTCAGGCCCATTTCCTTCCCCTTCATAACTTCCCCTGTGAAAAAGATTCCGGGGACGCCACAAGCCCCTAATTTTCCCCAGAGTCAGTGGGAGGGACACCCATAGGAAACCCCTTCCAGAGGGTTTTCTCCTGACCCTGTGGGAAATGTGCCAAAAAGGAGTCACACTGCCCATGTAGGTCCTCACCCCCCACCCTCGCCTTAGCTCACCCACTCGATGTTATCGCTGTCACTTTCCATGCCATGCAATCTAGGAATGCCTGCCCATGTCACGACCTCAGCCCTGATGTCATCTTTCCAGAAGAAAGATGTGTGGCTCCCCACAAACCTCACTGCCAAACCCATGGACTCCTATCCTTCACGTGCCAACTTCAATGCCCATAGGCCACCCTGCTGGTGTGGACCTCTCCTTGTGGCTCCTGCTCCTCCTTTCCTACTCTCCAAGGACCACTGGCCACTGGCCAGTCTCTCGCCCAGCTATCATGCCTCTGGCCCCTGAACACTGCTGTCCTGGCCTTCAGCTCTTCTTCCCGAATAACACTCCGTGGCCTTAGCCATCACGTGAATGGGGACTGCTCCCGGTCTGTGTCCTACACACGTAGCCTCTGAACCGTCGAACCCTCCTGTGGGCCCTTAGACCCTGCAGACCTGCTTTTTCATCCCCTGGGTCCTCACCTTTGACACATGGAGAGTAGTTCTAACTCTTCTCGCTTACACTCCACAGCACACTTTGTAACCTGCCTCCTCTTCACCATACCTGTTCCTAAAACTCTCTGCCTGTCTGTGCCCCAAACACTCTCCCCCTGTCCTATCCTCCTCCTCCCTCTGACAGCCTGACTTGCCCACCTGACTCTACTTGCCCCTTCAGCAAGCACTGGGAGGCAGCATCTCCCAGGAAAAGTCTCTGGCCCCTGGGACCACCAAGCTGGGACAAGTGGTTCCTTGAGATTCCTCAGCTCTGAATTCCCCCCATCCCAGCCTGGACCATACAATGGGAGGGTCCATTGCTCCCCTACAAGACTGAAAGTCTCCAGGGCCAGATGGAGAGCCAGTGGGAGGGTCCTGTCCTCCTCCTCCCCAGCACAGGGCTTGGTGCAGATAGGAAAAGTTTGTTGACTAATTGTCTGAGCTGTGACAACTCATTTCCAGGAGGAAAGTCACCTTCCATCTCAGAGAGGCCACACCAGCTCTCTGCCTCCCTGGCCACAGGCTTAGCTGGTAGAGGCTTCTGGTAAGGATGGATTTAGGTTTACTGTGCAGACCTTTCCCCAGTACCCCAACACTGCCCCACACCCAGCCCCAGGAGGCAAACCCTGCCAGGCAGCCTGGGTATTCAAGGTCAGCAGACTGGAAATGACTCAGTCAAATGGATTTTCCTGGAAAGAGCCAATTGACCACACGGCTACAGAGCACTTTCCTCCCTAGTCCTGCCCCCTGTCCTGGGTAGGAGGAGGTGGCCCTGCCAAGGGCCCAGGGCCTTGCCTTGTAGGAAAAAACAGCCATTGAGTCTGGCCCTCAGCCTGGGCAGAACAGAGTCACATTTATTGGATGCTCACTGATGTGGGGTGGGCTTGGCCAAAGTGTTTCCCCCACCCCCATTCAAGGCTCAGAGCCCCTCTGAGGGATCCATTGTTTTATTACCATGCTCAAGGGAGCCCTGGTCCTTTTCCCCATAGGGGTCAGGACAGATAACAGCAGAAGGAGAAGAAGCACCCTACCAGCATCACCCCCGGATGTGGACCCTCACTGCCAGCACTCTGCCACCAGTGCCCCAGTACCAGGTGCTTCCCACCTGGGCACAGGTACGGGCACAGCCACACTTCTTTCCTGGCACAGCTCTCCTCAGAGGTACACATCTTCACTGTCACAGTCTGCTGTCCCTGGCTGCACCACTTCATCTCTGGCATGGCCCATGTGGTGCCCTCCAGGGCAGGGTGAGTGGAGACACTTGCCCATTGTCTGCTGAAGGAAGTCCCAGGGGCAGCATGGTCAAGGGCGCCTGTCTGAGGAGGAGGCGAGAAGGCCTCAGGCTAGGATTCTGTGGACCCTGGGGAGTAGGGAGGGCTCCTGGAGGGCCACAGCATGAGCCAAGGCTGGAGGTGGAAGTTGAGTCTGGGATCTCTGAGAAGCTGGGTAGGAGAGAGGAAGCCTTGACTACCAGTCAAGGTAGGGGGTGGCTGTGAGCCAGTGATCTCTCTCCCAGAAACTCCATGAGGCATGGGGATGGGAACGAGCCTGGATCTAAGCCCAGTGTGTGTGCATATGTGGGGGGTGCTGGGTAGGAGAAGGGACAAATGTGCATGTAGAGGATTTTGGCGATAAACATGTGGTGGTTCAATGAATGGAGGATGGAGCTGAGGCACCACGGCTGTGCTGTGCGCCCCTGGAGCTGAAACCCGGAGGTCTTGGAGCCAGTAGGTACTTCTGGAGGCCTGGGTCCAGTCAAGGAGGAAACCCCAGGTGGGCCCTAAACCAGACTTAAAGGGCTCCTCTGCTTCAGTGGGCATTGGCCAAAACACTGTGGCTTGAGGATTCAGAGGCTCTGGAGTCATATTCTCTGTGCCTCATTTTTTTTTCGTATGTAAAATGAAGGCAGTCATAGACTTCATCTGGTCATTGAGGGGATTCTGAGTCCCTTTGCCTGACCCATCTTCCCCCTCCATGAGCCTGACCTGAGGTTTTCAAGGAGAAAATTGAGACCCCAGCCCATGGTGAGAACTCACTCAACCCTCCACTCTGGCCCACACAACCTCTGCCTCTCACTCCCAGGGATCCGGCTCTGCTTGGCTGGCCCCTCTTTCCTCCAGCTTCTCTCCCTCTGCCCTGGCTCTTTCCTGTTGGCATTAAAAACAGTGATGTGGCCCCATCCTATCCCTCCCCCTCCATACACCCCTGACTCCTCAGGCATGGTTATCTAGTCTTGCTGTCTCCACAGTGTCCAGGCCAGGCTGGGCTAGGCTAGGCAAAGAGAGGGAGGAATGGCGAGGGGACCAGGCTGAGACCCAGAGGTGCCTGGGGCTCCCTGACCAAGGGAGCTCTGGGGGACTTGTCTCTACCTGGCCACCCGGCACCCACACTGTGGCCCTATAAACTGCCTAAACTCTCCTGTGACCCCCAACTCACCCTATGCTCTTAGACCTCCACACCCTTACTCCCTGGTGCCATCTGCCTGACGTCCTTCTCTGCACCTCTGGCTGCCTGATGAACTCCTACTCCTTTATCAAGCTCCCTGTGCATTACCTCCTGAGAGAAGCACCTCTGACGAGACCCACACCCATACATCCATGGCTCTGTATGTAGTAACCCCTACCACACCATCCTGGGCCAACTGGACATGGCCAAGAGGCCCCCGGAGGCCTGACTCAGTGTCTCCCCAATCCCCTGCCCCAGCCTGGGTAAGCTGTGGAGGGTCCTCAGGGTGTTCGCTGAACTGAGTCAAATGCAGATTCAAGGCCAGGGTGGGAGGAGCAGAACCCCTTCCTGGAGCAAGAGGATTTGCACCATGGAGGGAGGTGGGCAATGCCTCTCTGAGTTCTCTCCTCAGGCGTTTGCCTTCCTGGCAATTTCTCTTTGCTTTTTGTATTTCAAAGTTTATCAGTAAAGCTCATCTATGCTCTCTCATATTGCCCTCGCAGTAAAAAAACGATAATTTAAAAAAATTGAAGTATAGTTGATTTCCAGTGTTTCAGGTGACAGCAGTTATTCAGTTTTAGTTTTATATACATATATTTTTTTCTTCTTCAGATTCTTTTCCATAATATTTTTAAAATTACAAATTAAAATTCCTGGTTGAGGTTATCTACTTTCCTGCTGAAGAAGCACCTTGGATTTGGGAAGGTGGGAACTTTGGCCTTCACTTGGACATTGTGGGACTTATGATGGGGCTTTGGTGCCCCCTTGTGGCAACTGGACCTATAGACCTGGCACTAAGGACAGTCTGGGCAGGCTCTGAAAAAAGACCTTCAGGAGAGACTCAGGCACCCCAGGGCCTCCTGTTGGGTCATGGAGTCATCAGCCCTCTCCCTGAAGGCAGATGGACATGATGTGAAAATACCCTAACTTGACTGGGAACTGACCACCTGTTGGTTCTGGGCCCCAGGACCAGGGCTGTGCTTGGGCCTGGTTGTGTTAGACCCAGGCAGGGTCTGAGGTTTGGGGTCAAGGATGAACCTGAGTGTGCTGGGCTCATGTTCGTCCCACTTCAGCCTGAAGCAGGCTGGACTGCTGTACAAGAAGGGCAATGAAAAGCCCCCAGGAAACCTGAAAAGGCCCACCCCCTTCTCAAGCATATCACCTCCACCCAGGTCCTGCCTATACTCCATGTCCTCTGATCTTTCTGCACCAAGTCTGTGTTGTCTGACCTGACCACTGACCCCCACCTCCTGCAGTCATTCGCCACTAACACAGGTTGTGGTTTTGGGTTTTGGGGGTTTTTTTAAAATTTTTTTATTAACACAAATGGTAGATAGTTTCACACTGTTTTATATCTTTCTCTTTTCCCATTCTTAACCATGAAGTAGTTAATTTTATAACAAAATATACAGATATAAAGTGAGGGAGGTAGATAGCTAGACAAATACATAAGTGTGCCTATAGTCAGAAACCAGATAGCATCCACTTCATAACTATGTTATTTAACAAATTATCTATTAAAGGACATATAGATTATTATTATAAAACATAGATCAATAGAGTAATAATTATTTGTGCTCATATATACACACGTATGTATATAACAAATAATCACAAGGTATGCCTATCACATTTAAGTAGATAATAGCAGCTTACCTTTCAAAGAGTTTGAAAATTTTACACTTTCATCAATAATAAATGAGAATGTCTCTTTTCTACAGTATATTCATTTTTAAACACAAGGTAATTCTAAGTAATATTTTTAAAATAAAATGTGAACAATTAAAATACAACATTTAAAAAACTCTGGTATGTAGACAATAAGAAAAAAATGTGTACACTATGACAATTTCATGAGGTTTTTATTTTCAGGAAAAAAAATATACACACCAATGTAGGTTTTGAATTTTTATAAAGCCTGAGGAGGGAAGGGAGAGAAACTGAGGGAGAATTGTGGGCTTTTCCTTCTGTTCCATGAGTGCTCTCAGCACATTTCAGTCTCCAGGCACTGGCTGTTGTTCCCTCTTTCCAGAGTTCCTTCCTCCCTGATTGCTGCATGGCTGGCCCTTTCTTGTCATTCAGGTTTCAACCTATATGTCCCCTCCTCAGAAAGACCTTCCCAGGCCATTCAATCTAAAGCAAGCTCCCTGGATACCTTCCATCTGTCTAGTCACTGCCATATTCCCAGTGTCCAGTAGAGGGCCTGACACATAGGTGTTCAGCACCCAAAGCTCTTATGGGACTTGTGAGGAGTCAGAGAGGATGACATTACTCCTTAGCATGGTGACAGGAAAGTTTGCTCTGCCTCTTCTCCCCTGAACCCCCAGACTGGAGGAAGTGCACCTGGGCAGAGTGCAGGGGAACCAGAGAGGGAGGCACTCAGAGCTAAAGGGTCAGTGGGACCCCAACGGTCAGGTGGCAGACTGAAGCCACATTCAGTGATGCCCCAGTCTCCATCATTCAGGTCAGTCTGTGCCACCTCGGGGCCACACTGGCTGTCCTTCCAGTGGGTCCCTGCCTACGCACCTGTTTCAGAGAAGAGCTCTGTCCTGGAGTAGCGTGGATAACCCAGAGGTATGCAACATTTGAGCTGGTCTTTTTTTCCTCCATGTATTCATTTTTTCTTTCTCAATAGGATTCCAACTCCCCCTAAGCACAGACACTTTATAGTAAATTAAAAAAAAAAAAAAGAATTACTGCACACATTTTCGCATCCTTTATAAGATACAGGAGACTGTTTTTGTCTGACTTGTCTTTATTATGTTATTTCTTGTCTACTTTAATAAGAAAGATTTCAGTCTGATCTAATTCAAAAACTACATTGCACCTTCTTTTTCTCTACCTTCATTCATCCCTTTAATGACTATGCATTAGAAAACGTGCTGGAAAAGGGCTCTTTAAGTAATCAGAGTGTTACTTGTTACTTCAAGTAGTTAACAGCTTCTTTAAATGAACCTGGGCGTGTTGAGTCAGGATCAGGGCATGTGAGGCTGAGGTTACAGTGTGGGTAAAGGTTTAGAGGTAGGAAGCAAGGTGTGTAGTTCCTCTAGGAAGCCACAGCGCTTCTGTTACCTGGAGCATCAAGGAGGTAGGTAGCTGTGGGAGAAAGGAAATAGAAGCACTGGATGGAACCAGGACTTTTATGCTACCCTAATGATCTGGACAAGGTCCAGAAGACCCTGAGGACTGGAAAATGAAGTATAAACCAACATGGTCATATTTGCATTTTCTAAAACTCAATCTGGCTCCCCAGTGGACCACAGATTGCCAGGGTGTGGGTTCCAGGCCCATCTGGTGGTAGGGAGGTGTGTTAAATCATCAGGCAAGAGAGTTACTAAGACCTGAGTAAAAATGAGACACTAGCAACAAAGCATTTGTTCAGAAAGTGTGGTTTATTTTCACAGATGTATAGAAACCAGTTTAAAACCTGAGGTACAAATGAACATGCCCCGAAGTCCCCATCTTGAATCTTTTTCAGAAAGAGCAAGACATGGCTCCTCTGCTAAAATAAATACCCTTCACATTGCACAAGGTAATAAATAAATACATAAATAAATAGTCTCAATAAAATAAAAATGAGAATAATCACAGAAGGACAAATGGGGGCTGCACATTTCAGGAATTAGGTAATTAACAATTAGTCTGACTCCACAGGAGAAAATGAAATTCTTCCAGTCCCGGACTATGCGAGAGACATCCAAGAAACTTAGGACATCTGCTGTTACTGACGTTCCGAGGCTCCAGAGAGGGAGCTGAGCTTCCGACTTCAGACGTTAGGGCTCTATGTGTTCTTACAATTCAGAGAGTCTCTAATGGCAGACAGATATTCCTTCAGTTTCACCCGGAAATCACCCAAGTTATCCTTCTCAATAAGGATTGGCTCTTCCTGTGAAGAAACCAAGAAGGTGGCATTAGATGGAGCCAGGTTGGAAGGTGGATGACAGGCTGGGGTCAGGTCATAGCTGAGGGCATCACCTGCAGGGACATCTAGGGGGCAACTTACCGTGGATGTGGTTGTGGGCAGGATTGGCTGGATTTCCTGTGGGAAGAGACCGAAGCAGACAGTCAGAGACTTGGCTGGAAAAGAAGCAGGACCTGCTACCCTCCTCCCCAGAGGCAGGGCAGGGCCAAGGCAGGAATGACAAAACCCTTGACAGCTTCACATACCTTAAGATTTTTCTTGATTTTCGAATCCTCTCCAAGGGAATTTGTGGCAAATGTCAGGAATTCTTCCAGGTTTGGCGTCCAGAGCCTTGTTTTCTAAGGGGACAAAGCATTCATGTAAGTGGGGAAAGGTTGGAGAGTGTCCTTCCCATGGCTGGGCTGAAGTCATCCCCACAGTTTTCCAAGCGTGCTTTCAGGGACATCCCTGGACAATCCCCTCCTTGTCCCCTTCTTGCCCCAGGTGGGTCCCTGAACTGCTCTGAAGGGCACAGGCCTAGAGGTGAGTGCACACCCCAGGCAAGCCTTATGTCACCCACATCCCGAGCCTCCTGTGAGCTGCATGAAGGGCCTGGGTGGATCTTTCTGCACTTGGGGAGAAAGAATTTCCCAAAACAGGCTCTAAAAAGGCAAAGGGTTGGCCAAGGGAAATATTTGCAGCAAGAGGCCTTGACTGAATTAAGGGCTCCTAGAAATCAGGAAGACAGTCACAGAGGCCCCAGCATGGAAATGGGTGCAGTGTGTGAACTGTGAGTGCCTAAGAGAGGGGGAATACAAATGGCCAGTAAACTCAGGAGAGATTCCACCTCTTGTTTTACCCAAATAATGCCATGCAAGCAAAAGTGAGATAACCACTTTAGGAAAAATAGCTATAAATGATGATAACTAGGGCTGATCAGAGTTGAAAATACGACAATTATTCAAGGAAAAGGAGGGAAGCAAACATGATCCTGAGGGAAATTTTAGTCTGCCAGCCCAGAGGATGCTCCACTGAAAACTGAGCTTAAAACCTGTGATATTGTTCATCTAGAACTGCCTTTTCATTTTGTAATTTAAAAAGAAATCATTTTCATTATTATAGCCATGACGGGGGAAATGTGTTGAGCAGCTGCTAAGCACCAGAGGCTGGTCTGGGAGCTTGACACACAGTGTGCATCTAATCCTCACAACAACCCCACTGAGACAGGTGCTGTTAACCCTATTCACAGATGAAAACACCGAAGCTAGTCAAGGTGAAGTGACACGCCTGAGGTCACCCAGGCAGGAGGTGAATGGGGACCCACCCAAGTGCACCCATGTGTGGGGCTGAACTCTTACCATCAGCCTCCTCTTTTCGTTTGAGTTCAAGAAGTCCTGTAGGGGCAGAGGGAGAGAGCCCATGAGTCCTGTTGGCCTGAGGCACCTGCCAGCCCTTCCCTGCCCCTTGCCAACCTTATCCCAGCTACTCACTTCTGAAGCCACAGGTAGCTTGTCTAGCTCATTTATAATTTCCCGGATCAGGTTGAGTACATAGCATTGTTGGGTTCCTGGTGTCTTGACCGGTGCCCCTTGTGCCTGAGGGGTGTGGAGTGTGAGCAGGAACAGGAGCCAATGCAGGATGGGGAGGCTGCGCATGTTTGGGCTGGCAGGATGGATTCTGTCTTGTCCGGGTCCTTCGTGGCATTATGAAGTGTCTGAGACAGCCGCCGTCTTTTATGCAGCAGGCCCGTGCCGCGGGCAAGCGGGGGTGTGGCGGGCAGGCTTCAGAAGAATCTTTATCTGACATGGAACCTCCATAGCAAACCACAGACTTATTCATCACTTTTTAGTACTCAAAATCAGTGAAACTTGGAAAAAAAAAATTACAGGGTATCTCCTCATCTTGCAAAGGAGGCTAAGAGACAGGCAGGTCATTGGGCAGAGTGGGAACAGGTAAAAGGACCTGTCTGACAGGGGAGCGGCCCCCTGACTCTGAGCTCCCTTGAGCCTCCTGCCCAGTGAGACCTGGTCCTGCCATCCCCTGGACAGCCCTGACCCTCTGCTGCCCGCCCCACCTGGCACTGCCTGGTTCTGCATGGGTGGCCAGGTGAAGGCCCAGTGGAACAGGCAAGAGTTTGTCTGGCAGCCGGTCACATGGCTAACCATCCACCTGTGGGCTCGTCCACTGAGAGCACATCTCTTGATACCCACTCCTAGCACTGAATTACTGGTGTTAAAGCCCCCAGTGGTTTGCCTCCCGGGCTTTGGGCAGCTTCTCCTCTACAATCTCTGTTCCTGGTGGGTGGCAGATGGAGCTCAGGCACCAGACGCCCGTTCTCTTATTGGTGTGATAACAGCACAGCCCAACTCTGCCCTGTGCTGTGGGATGTTAGCCCCTGGTGGAGGCCTGGCTGCAGGCCCTGGGCAGTCCCTCTGGTAGCACAGAGGAGCTGGGCTCAGGGGCCCGTTGATGGGGGCCCTTGAGGAAGATGTCAGTGGGAAGTAGGAGGAGGGGGCTGGCCTGGGTAGGTTTAGGTGGTGGGATTGACAAGGTCTGAAGGGCGAGGGAAAGGAAGAGAGGTTTCATGCTGGGCCTCTGGTGATGCGGTCCAGTGACCAAAGGAGAGAGTTGTGTCTCAGGGGTCTGGATCCCAGTCTGTGCTGAAGTGTGATTTGGCAGATGCAGGCCAGAAGGAAGGGTTTGCTGAACAGGGCAGAGGGCAGGGATAGACCACGGGAGAGTCCACAAAGAATCAGAGAAGCAGCAGCCAGATGGGAAGCAGGCAAACTAGGAAGGTGGGAGGCTTAGAGGGCAGACCCTGAAGGAAGAGGTAAACTGCTGCCCCATGGGGCATGTCAGGCCCTGACACAGGCCCAGGGCAGGGGGTGTTGGTAAAGGGATAAGTGTAACAGGGACATGGGGAAGAGTTCTTTGAGATGATTGGGGCTGTGGCGGTGGGGGAGAAGAGAGACAGAATGGAAATGCCAGGGGCTGGGGTGCAGTGTGATATGATCCGTGTGGGGAGATGAAGGATAGGAGGTTATGCTGAGGCGGGGGAATTTGGGTGTTTCAGGCTTCTGAGCAGATGGAGATCTGGTGAAGACAAGGACCAAGATGTGGTTGCAGCAGAGGCAAGTGAAGAGGCTGTGATGCAAGGAAATAATGAGAATAATGCCTGTGGCCGATATACGTGGCTCCTAGCTCAGCCCTTGGATCTGGGCCCAGAGCATCCTCAAAAAGCAAGGGGAGTGTCTCAAAGGCATGAGTGAAATGAGGCAACAGAAACAAGTAGGGAGCCTTAGGACTGGGTACCCACTAAGAACAATTCATTCAACAAACTTACGAAGCACTTGCTTTGTGCACGCACTGTGAATAAAGCAGATACCGTTCCTCTCCTTAAGAGATGCACCATCTTGTGGGCAGAGATGGACATAAAGCCGTCCTACTCAGCTTGGACCTCGGACCTGCAGCTTCACCATCAGCTGGGGGCTTGTGTGAAGTGCAGACCCTCAGACTTCACCCCAGACTTTCTGATTCAAAAATTGCCTTTTGACCAGGTCCTCAGGTGATTCACATGACATTTAAGAAGCTCTGATTTAATTGCCAAGATATGGAAGCAACCTAAGTGTCCATCAACAGATGAATGGATAAAGAAAATGTGGTACATATATATACCCAGTGGAATGTTACTCAGCCACGAAAAATAATGACATTTTGCCATTTGCAGCAGCATGGATGGACACGGAGGGCATTACGCTACGTGAAATAAGTCTAACAGAGAAAGATATACTGTATTGTATTACTCATATGTGGAATCTAAGAAATACAACAAGCTAGTGAATATAACAAAAAGGAAGCAGACTAACAAATATAGAGAACAAACTAGTGGTTACCCGTGAGGAGAGAAAAGCGGGGAGGGGCAATATAGCAGTAGGGGAGTAAGAGGTACAAACTATGAGGTATAAAATAAGCTACAAGGATATGCTGTACAACAAGGGGAATATAGCCAATATTTTATAATAACTATAAATGAGTATAAGTTTTAAATTTTGTGAATCACTGTACTGTACACCTATAACATATAATATTGTACATTAACTATATTTCAACTTTAAAGTGTGGAAGAAAAATAAGAATTAAAAAAAAAAAGTTCAGATTTAAAGTATTCAGCTTAGGCAGGGGCGGGGGTTCATGTCCCAGAGACCCAGGGCTGCTTAAATACTCAACTGTGGTTTGGTATTACATTCTGTATAAGAGTTTTGAGACCTGTGCACACACACAAAAAAATGTGATTTCTTATAGAGAAAAACCTCTTTTTTATGTAAATGAGCTTTTTGAGGGAATTTTAAAGCTATGGAGGCCGAACATTCCTGCAAGCCTTCTTAAACAGTCCTGACTTCACGTTGTACTGTAGCAAAGAAAAATTCTGAGTAGTGTTATTGTAAATCTTGACCTTTGTAGTTTGCCTCTTGTTTAAAAAATAGTTATAAAGTCTATGAAAGGAGGAGGAGGTTTAGGCTTCATGCTAGGAGCCCTGGAAGCATTGTGGGGTTTTCAGCCAGCGACAGGTGTGGTCCCTGGAAGGTTTGGGTCCCAGGAAGCCCAGTCTAGCTACTGTGGGGAGAATGGCTGGGAAGAATCAGGACAGCAGGTTGGCCAGCGCGGAGGCGGGGAAGTTCTCTGGACCACAGATAGTGGGAAGGCTGGAGCTGGTTGATTCTGGTGGGGATGGAGAAAACCAGATGCAGGTAAAGACTCTAACAGCTAACTTCCACTGCCGGGCACAGAGTTCTTTTTATGGGTTAATTCATTTAATCCTCACAATGAGCCTGAGGCAGGGATGATTATGATCCCCATTTTACAGAAGAGGAAACTGAGGCTCAGAGAGGTTGAGTTCATGCAGCTAGGAAGCAACATCGCCCAGGGCTGAAAGCAAGCAAGTCTGTCTGACCCCAGAGGCTGAGCACCCACCATGACAGCACTGGAAAGTGACAAATTAGGAGGTGACGCCAGGTGGCGGGAGGGGGCAATAGGGTAAAGATAAGATGTGGCCACTGGGATTGTTGACAAGGAGGCCACTGGAGCCTCTGTGAGAGCAGTTTTAATGTATGGTGGGGGCAGAAGCCGGTGGTAGTGGGCTGAGGAGTGAAGGAGGGTGAGACAGAGAGGGCAGGCAGCTCTTCGAAGATCTATTCTGAAGAGAAGGAGAGGAAGGCAGCTAGAGGAGTCAAGGGGTCAGAGAAGGATCTTTCCAGGCAGGGAAACTCGAGTATCTCTCTGCTGGAGATGAGCTGGGACTAGGTGAGAGACCTGGATGTTGGGCCAGTGTAGTGAGTGCCTGAGGGGGACGGTCACAGGGAGGGCTCCCGACATCAGGTATCACAGGCCCACCTGAGCAGAGAGCTCAGGGGAGGGCTGCTTGGGTGGGCCCAGTCTGGGAACGTGCAGTGGGTTTGGTGGCAGGAGGGGACAATGGCTTCTGTCTTCCCCGGGAAATAGGAGGCCAAGTCAGCCATTGAAGAACGGAGGGTGGCATGGTTGGGGAATGTGAACTGACTGCTAGGGATGACCTTGAGGGGCTGGCATCCAGGGGTCAGAGGGTGAGGAGGTTGGGACAATCCAAGGCTTTGCTGGGCTAGAGTGTAGAAAGGCAGGCCCCTGAGGCAAGGTAAAGGGGCCATGGGAGGAGGCCATGAAGGGCTGGGAAGGAAGCAAGGATGGCGCATTTGTGCGAGGAACAGAGTCACATTCCTCCAAGCAAATGTGATTCAGAAGGGCTGCCCAGCTGCCCCTGTGGAGGACAGGTGGGAACCTTCCACAGAGCTTCTGCAGCTTCTCAGGGGAAGCAGGCAGAGCCTGGGCCTCCTCCAGGAGTCTCCTTTGAGGTTTGTCTTGACTCTAAAGAAGCTGCTTCAGGTGAAATCACAGGAACCCTCCTTTCCTCCCCTGCAGGCTACAGTCCTGCCTGACCCCCTGGGTGAGGCCTGGCCCCCTGTAAGAAAGTGATCTCACCCCAGGCACCTGCGTCAACCCAGCCCAGGGAAAGCTTCCTCCACAGGCTGACTGATTGTGATCACAAAGGGAAATGAACTAAGGGTGCCCAGCCCTGGGCGGGCACAAGGGAGGCCCTGCTAGAGCTGGGGCAGGAGAGCCAGCCCAGAACTGCTGCCTGGGGTCTGCAGGAAGAGACCCTGTGGGTTTCAGAGTGGGTCCTTGGGCCCCGTCCTACAGACCCCTGCAGGCCTGGCTTGGTCCCGCCTGTTGCCCAGATACATTCAGAGTGGGGCACAGTGTCCGTGGTCCTGGCCCCTGGGGCCCATTCATCCAGAGGTTCACTCCTGTTCCTTCCTGTCACCCCCATGGGCCTGGTGGAGTTACTGAGTGCCCATCACTGGCAGGGACCCAGGGCTCCATCATCATGACTATCTCCTCTGTCACCCTCTCCATGGCATCATGTGTCAGATTTAGTTTCCCCATGACCTCACTTGCACTTTCACTGGTGGCCCTGACCACACCGCCTGGTTTTGTCAATACAGAAGGCAGCTCAGGGCTCCTGGCTGGCCAAGCAGTGTCATCAGTTTCACGTGTCCACCTCAGCAGAGAGTGCAGGAAGGAGCCTCCTGGGTGGGCTCAGATGGAGAGGACCAGCTTCCTGTCCCACCCAGCTCTGTACTCCTTCCCTGGGGCCTGTACAACCTCAACCTGTGCACCCTCAGAATTCTAGCCCATGCTGCAGGGATGCAGCCTCCTTGGGGCACACCTGTGCCGAGTGGACCTCCTCCCCAAGCTCAGTCTAATAGAGAAGACAGATGGAGAAGCACAGTTTAGGATGATAAGCCTGGTGGGGTCGGGGGTGGGGTAGGAAAGGGAAGCCCAGAAGCGGGGCAGCCTCTCCCATCTGGACTGTGGGGGAGGACTGGAGGAAGGGACATCTAACATCTCAAGGATGGTCTGGAGCCAGGCAAGTTGCAGAGGAAGTACTCCCAAGTAAATCTGGGTTTGGGGATGCAGATGTTCTGTCTGTTGACCTCAACCCTACTAGCCATTGCTCCAGTATCCGGGGAACTGGGGGTGGCCATGTCATTCTTGTTATTAATGTATAGGCATTTGGTGCCTGTCACTCTCTTGTTGCTCACCTGGAACACAAAGACTTGGAACATGCATTCATTCCTACTGTGTTCATTATATTTATCTCAGACAAAACCAGGAGCCAGGGGAGGGACAGGCATATAGGGCCCTCAGCCCCACAGTCCCCATTCTCAAGGAAGCTGCCCCAAAACTGTGAGGTGACAATGTGGGGACTTAAATGCTAGTAACACAGTGTTCCAGGCTCTTAAATAATATAGTTGACCCTTGAACAACATGGTTTTGAACTGTGTGGTTCCACTTATACATGGATTTTTTTTAATAAATATATTAGAAAAAATTTTGGAGATTTGCAACAATTTGAAAAAATTGACAGATGAGCTGTGGAGCGTAGAAATATTGAAGAAATTAAGAAAACAGTGTGTCATGAATGCATAAAATATATGTGAATACTAGTCTATCCTTATGTAGGCATAAAGTGAGTGACATTTAATATAAAATTAATAATGTGTTAGTTTTCTTACTGTTTTATAACTTTGCTTTCAAAGAATCACATTATGCTACAGTATGCCTCTCTCTCTTGTAATTGGAGAAATTTCGTATCAGCATATTGTCACAGATTGGTGGATTTTAAAAAATGTAACAATGTTTCCAATACTGTATTATGAATATGACTGTAATACAGTATTCCATGACAGTTGTATAACGATTCATTCATTAGTGTATAGGCTAGGCTACCATGAAGCAATCCTGTTGATTACACTGGGCTACAATAAAGCAGTCATATTGCTGCTTCTTCATTATCAATGCATGAATCTTTATACCTTCAAAAAAGTATGAATTTCTTTTTCATATTATCTTTTCATTTTTGATGTCTACTGTTAGTAATACACATAACATCTACAGTGTTTGGTATCATATAAGATAGCATTGTTGTAGGTATAGGTACTGACAGGCAGACAATTCATCTTAGAAACACAACATAAACTTGTGGAATCAATAAATACGGTACAGTACTGTAAATGTATTTTCCTTATGATTTTCTTAACATTTTTTTCTCTACGTTACTTCACTGTAAGAATACAGTGTATAGTACGTATACAAAATAAGTGTTAACTAACTGTTACGTTATCAGTAAGGCTTCTGGTCGGCAGTAGCCTATTAGTAGTAAAGTTTTTGAGGAGTCAGAAGTTACATGTGGATTTTCAACTGTGGGGATGTCAGTGCCCCTAATCCCTGTGTTGGTCAAGGGTCAAGTGTACTCTTCTACATGTGTGAGGCTTCACACAAATGGTTAGCCACGTAGAAGATGTTCCCAGGCAGAATCTTGTCTGCCTCTCAGGCAGAGTGGGAGGCCTGTGAGGATGGTGACAGAGAGTCAGAGCTGTAAGAGGGCAACAGGACCAGATCCCAGCTGGGAAGAGGCACAGATAGGCCTGGGCGAACTCAGAGCTAGGCTGCCCTCTCACCTGCGCCCACTCTGTCTGGTGGGCAGTGGCTCGTATCCTCCTTGGTAAGGTGAGGTGAAACCCTTGGAGGGAATTCCCTGGTGGTCCCGTGGTTAGGCCTCCGTGCTTTTACTACCAAGGGCACAGATTCAATCGCTGGTCAGGGAACTAAGATCCTGCAAGACTTGCAGCCAAAAAAAAAAAAAGAAGAAGAAGAAGAAAAGAAAAGAAAGAAAGAAATGCTTTGAGAACAGTTTTTCAAGTTTTACTGATCTTGAGTACCAGAAAATGTTGCATAGGTTGATTTGTTTGTCGTGGAGGTTCTGTATCAGAAAA